GGAAAGAACAACCCAGATGACAGAAGGACTACACAGTAGGAGCTCAGAGAGCGCGAGAGGAGATGGGACTCGAGTCCAAGGGAAGGAAGCCGCGGAAAGATCTGGTGTTTAAAGGAGGAGGAGGAGGTTCGGCTTTTGTTTCTATTAAGGACAGGCAAAAGACTAGGCTCAAGTGCATCAAGAAGAATTCACGTACAACATGAGGAAAAAGTAAAATACACCCAACTTCCTGGCAATGTTTGTAACTTCCTGGGTTAGGCTGCCCTTGCCAATAAGACTGACGAACGGTCATCATAGGGTGAGTTTTGAGGAACGGTTCCTTCGAGTTTCATGGTGTTGGTGAGGCATCCCTTCAGAACTGGCTGAAAAATCGTAGATTTGCTGAACCCTGTGTTCTAGGGAGAAGCTTCTAGAGGGCCCTGTTACATGCTGGATGAGTGATGGCCCTTTGGACGAATGAATAGTTTCCAAAGGATAGTTTCCTGGTCAGATCAGGCACGTGGTGGTAAGCCAGAAGATAGGAGTAGGGTACCAGGTACAGATCTCTATCCCGGATCATTTCTTGATTAAATTCTTTCTGCAAAGAGTTTATGAGGTCCTGCTGTGGACCAGGTACAATAAAACAAACCCTGGGGATAAAACGGTGTTTCTCAACCAGGGGTGACTTTGCCCCTCAGGGGACTCTTGGCAATGCCTGCAGACATTTTTGTTGTCCCGACTGGGGCGATGGGGGGCAGGTGGGAGGGGGGCTACTGGCATCTCATGCGAGAGACCAGACATGCTGCTCAATATCCTACAGTGCCCAGGACAGTGCCCTACAACAGAGAATCATCCGGTCCCAAATGTTAATAGTGCCAAAGTGGAGAAACCTTGAAGTCAAGAAATAAGGTTCAGTTCCTGCTTTCAAAGAATTTGGTCTGTTCATTGTTTCTTACCGTGGCTTGAAATGTGACCCACTGAAAATTTCTGCATTGAAAACACCTCTCCAAGTTCCTTATGTGAAGGGATTTTAAATAAAACTGAATTCCCAGAACTATTCGGGACTGACAGCGTGGGGCTATCGATATAAAGAGGTTCATTAAATTCTTACTAATTGGTTATCAAACCTTCGATTTAAAAAATTATTTAAGCAGAGGGTGGACAGCTTCCAGGTGACTTATCTTTATCAGCAGGGTGAGCCTACACTTTTTGAGTGTATATCTAGAACACAGATGGAAAATAACCTACAAGTTGGGTTAATATAGTAAACCTTAACAGTTCATCTCCTTTAACTTGAACTTGTTCACAATTTCGGCAGGGCATTGCTACAATCTCACTTTGCTTAGAAATCCCTTGGTCTAATAACAGTTTCAGTTGGATTATTTGCAATATTTGGAACTAGTTCTTTCCAGCACTCATACATGCTACTTACTATAAAATCCACCAATACGTTAATTAAAATAAATAGCAATTTATTAAAACGGCACCCTGAGGACCCCAAATACACCCTATTTTGTTTCACTGATGTGGGAGGTCAGTTATTTGACCTGGTGGTAGTGAGCTGTTCTGGAAAATTGCCTTTTTTATTTAATGAGGAGTAAAGTCGGCCAGAATGACCTCTCACGCTTTTTTCCCTGCTGTTAAAGTTTTCAGCTTAGCAGCTTTTGAGTGTGGCTTTTAGAGGTTTGGCATCACCACCCTTCAGCTTGAAATCTCCCTTTACAATTGTACCAGGTGCTCTGGGCATTGCAGTTAACTGGAATGGTCTCGAAAATAATTGGAAAAAAAATCTGTAATTCAGACTCTTCACTAATTCATACTGGGTTTTGCCCCCAAAAGGATCCAAATTCCTGTGGGTTCATTGGGCTTCAAACCCGATATTTAAGAATCATTGCAAAGTACATATTTTAAGTTGTTGATACTTAAAAACTGAAAGCAGAAAACTCTTCTGAGCCTCAATTTCCTCACTCGTAAAATGGAATCTAAATCCTTTCCTGCCGTATTAATTATGCTGTTTATGAAGATAATCACTATATTGACATCATCTCTCAGTAATTGGCTACCTTTCCTTCCCTCCTTTCCTCCCTCCCTCCCTCCCCCCCCCCCTCCTTCCCCCCTCCCTCCCTCCCTCCCTCCTTCCTTCCTCCCTCCCTCCCTCCCTCTCTCCTCCCTTCCTCCTTTTGCTTGGAGTTTTCACCATTGCAGATGTACTTTTTCATGCTTAAAGTATGAGAGTTTTGCATTTGAATCTAAACAAATCTTTGATCTCACTTTAGAATTTCCTACTCACTGTCGAGGACTTCCTTGGTTAGGACAGTAACTGTACCGTCTTTAAATCTTTCATTTTTCTCTCTAGTTTTTATTTTACCAGGAGGATCACTACCCCCAAATATGGATTTTTGTAAGTCATTCCAATTTTTTATCATTTCTGAACTGAAGCCAGCCGAAGCCATCGTGACAAGTCCGAGCAAATTATCAACATTCTTGGGGACTAATTCTATTTCCTAAAAGACTCTGAAAAGCTATTCTGTAGGCTAGTTGACCCAAACATTTTTTTTAGAAGGAATGGGAAATTAAGTCATGAGAAAGAGTCTGATAGAAATCCCGCCGAAACCTTAAACGCGGTTAGCTGGAGACAGTTGTGAGGGGTGGGGAGGTAAGTGACCAAAGCTCTCTGAATCAAGCAGAATAATGATGGGGCCTGAAGTTTGCCAGTGCCCACCCCCACCCCCCTGTGACCCTTGTGTGGATCACATGCCTCAGACCAGGAATCATGGTTCCAGGCTGATAATTCTTAGATAAAGTTTGTGTTGAAAGGCTGCGAACTTCTGACTCGGGAGGGAGCATGGAACCGAACCACCAGGGGTCCATAGGCTCACCTTGGCCGCAGCAACAAGCCCTTTGTTCTTCTCCTGATTCCCTGGCCTGCAGGTAGCCAAGTGGATTCCAGTTCCCGTCAAAGGCTGGGAAGGGGGGCAAGCAGAGGGTATCACTGCCCCAGTGGCACAAGCCCGGTCCCTAGACAACACCGCGTGTGGCCCTCATAGACCTCAGTGGGCACGTCTCCCCACGCCACAGCGGCCTCTTCCCAAAGCTCCCCCCCCAGCCACGAATGACAGGGCCTGGGGCTAAGCGCAGCATGGGTGGGTGGGAGTCCGACCCAGGGTAGGAGACAGCCCGTGCTGACTCAACACCCTGGTTGGCTGTGGAGCCAACAATTCTTACCCAAGCAGCACTGACGTCTTAGGAGAAAGGGGCATTTCGAGACCGATCAAAGAGAGATTTGTGGCTTGAGGTTTATAATGTAATTAGAGGCTGCAAATGCCTTCCTTTCCACCTATATGTCACTCAGCTTTAAGCACTGGCTTCTTCTAAAGGCCAAATTGAGAATCCTGTTCCCTCAAAGCCGGGTAAGCAGCAGGTGTTCCCAGGACACTGTGAACCGGGTCCCCTGCTGGCCGGTGTACAAAGGCGGCCCCCCCCCCCCCGGGCTGCAGGGGCAGCAGAGACAACCGCAAACGTGGTGAGAAGAGACATCAGGTAAATGGCAAGTGCAAGCCCCCGGGCACGTTTGTGTTGTTGCAGTTGAGACTAGCACACATGCCATGCTCAGGAAACACGGCCAGAAACCCACCATGGGCGTAAAAGTGGAAAAAGCCTGCACTGTGTGGAGGCGGAGGGATGGAGTCTGGCGGGTGCCGTTGAACGGGACTAAGCTAGCCTGACGAGCAACGGCTGTGTGGTGATTACCACCACGTCGCACTTTGAAAAATAAATTTTAACGGCATAGGAAAAGAGCAGGAAAAAGAAAAGCCATTCTGGGTGTTCAGTACAGCACCAGCTGAAATGGTAACCCTATACACAGAGAGCCTGGTAATAAAAGAACAGTCTCGCAACTGCTTTTCCTCCTGTTCATGTTCACGGTAACAGCTGGATACATACTAATTGCAAGAAGTGAAAGAAAGAGCTCTAAGTTTAAAAGCAGGCATGCCATCATCAGTCTGTCGCCAGCACGGTTTCAGACACAAGTGCGATGTGCCGCCTAGCAGATCTAGCTTAAATGTACACTCAAACTGCCTCATTTGCAGGGGAGGCTTTGTGCTGTCGGGGAAGAGCCACGGGCTGTTCCCTTCTTCCAGGTGCCTCGCTTTCGTCCACGGAGAGATGGCTCAGCCAGTGTTTTTCAGCCTCGGCACCATTGATGTTTGGGCCGGATCATCTGCTGTTGTGGGGGGGTCCCGTGCCTGTGAGATGTTCAGCAATGCCCTCCGTCCCTACCCACCAGAGGCCAGGAGCATCCTCCCCAGCTGAGACAACCGAAAGTGTCTCCCGGCATTGCCAGATGTTCCCTGGGGAGGCACCGTCACCCCCAGTTGAGAACCATTGGCCTAAACTAAGGAGGAGCGACTTTCTCTTCCCTTCCCAACCCCACTCCCAAGCATCTCTATCCCAAGCCTGGAACGTTTATGGGGCATCTCCTGATCCACCAGCAAAGGACTTACCTCTCGTTCTGAGGGGTCTTCAGTAATACTTTTGGCTTGCAAGACTTTCAGTCATTCAGAACAATGCTGTTACTGCCTTTGAAAAGAAGGTCCTCTCCAGCTAAATTCTGAGGGGAGGGGGTGGGGAGGAAGCAGGTAAATTTTCCTTTTAGACACATTTGTCGGTTTTGGTCTACAGAAGGCTCAGACACAGAATTCTCCACACCCAGGGTCTACGTCAACTGGAAAGGGCCTCGGGTGCTTGAAACTCACCTCCCCACCTCTTCCTTCTCTGTGCCACATTTTTACAAATGAAGAAAGCAACGTTTAGAGGGGAAAGTGACTGGCTCCAGGCCGTACATATTCCTAGTCTTCTTTTAATGGTGGCATAGGCCAATATAATCCTTCTTTGCCCCATACGCCTGGAGAGCTTAGGTCTCAAAACACAAAGAACTTGTAGCGCTTTACAAGCAACAGTTTTGGCCAAACCACACCAGTTAAGGAATGCAAATTTACAAAATGATAGAATGCTGCAACCAATTAGTGCAAACAAACATTTATTGTGAAATATTCATCCTACCCTTTATTAGGTATTACATCATCAAAGCACTTTGTGGCAATGAAAATAGCTTTTTTACCCCTCTGATTCACCCAATATTCCATTAAAGCTGCAAAAAATGTGCAATCTGCTTGAAAAATAGGTTGCTCTTATTTACTCATTTGTGAAAAGTCAAAAATTAAAAAAGAAAACAATACTAGCTTACAGGGCCTCTAGAGCCAATTCGCCTTCCCGCTTCCCAACTACTCCCCAAAATAATTAACAAAGATAATTTGTTTTAAATGCCTTTTTATAAAACCAATGCACCTTTCCCCATATTATAATCATAAAAATTTTAAAAAGCCATTATTTACTTTCTTGGAAAAAAGGTGGCCAGCCGTTGTTTTTTGATCGGGAGCATGTGTATTTCCTGGGAGTTCACTTTCTTTAACTTTATGCTCCTGTTTTTGACGGGTTTCCTAAGGGGCTCTGTGCTTCCCATGGGCTCTTCTCCTTGGCTATTGATGTCATAGCCCTGAAGCACGGAGTCTTCTCTTTTGAAGGAGAAGTTTTTGGTGGACACGCCCGAGAGGCCTTTGATCTTGCCGCAGAAGATGGCAGGCACGGCGTCTTCCACCGAGACGATAACCTTGGCGGCCTGGGACTCGCTCACGATCTCCATGGGATTTTCAGCCTTGACCTCGCCGCTGGGCTGGCCGGGCTGGCCGGGCAGCTGGGCGGGGTTGCTGCCGCCCACGTGGCTATCCATCACAGCCGAGGCCCCGTGTGCTGTGGCAGGGGCAAAGGGCACTTCCATGCCGCTGGCGTGACCTGGGCTGTCCACTGAGCTGCTGCTGTCATACAGTGTCTCAACAGGAGGCTCAGATTTTCGGTGGGCTGCCAGCGACAGGTCCAGGACCGCATCTTCCTGGCAGACGGGGGGACTGGCTTCGCCAGCCTTAAGCCAGGGCACCGACTTCATGGACAGATCCAGGGCCTCGTTCTCACTCCCCATCTTGATGACCGTGTGGCGGCTAAGCTGGAAGTACTCCCTCGGCTGCAGGATATCGAAGGGCTTCAGTTCCTCCTTCTCCAGAGGGCTAGGGGTGCCTTTGAAGGGGTGTAGGCCGAAGGAAGATGGCGGCTTGGGGAAACCGGAGCTGAGCTTGGATTCGGGACTCTGAGGCACAGGGATGGGGATGGGGATGGGGACGGGCACGGGCAAGGGGACGATCACAGGGTAGGGTACCAGGAGGGTGGCCGGAGGGACCAGCGGGGACAGGGGGGAGTTAAAGGGCTGGGGGGGCACAGGCGCGTATCCAGGAGGAGGCTGACAGGGTGGGGGGCCGAGAGCGCCCTGTGAGGGGAACAAATTCTGGAGCACAGCTTCAAACGGCAACGTGGGCTCTTGTGGCCGGCTGGGGATCCGCAGGTCCAGGAGCTGCGGTCGGGCCTCGGGGTCCTCGGCTCCCTGGAACAGGTTGTTGTGGATAGCACTGGAGGAGCACGGGGCCTCCTGCGGCAGGACCAGAGGGGAGTTGAGGTGCTGGAAGACGTGCTGCTCCAGCACCACCGGCAGCTGCACGGGGCCCTGCGTGGTCATGACATAGGCCGCATGGCCGTTAGGGTTGAGCTCGGGCGCAGGGCTTCCCTCCACCTGCATGTGAATGGGCATCACCACCGGGCTCTCCCCGAGGCACAGGGGCTGCAGCACAGTGGCCGCCACCTTCAGAGCCATGCCGCCCTGAGACTCGGCTGGGGGGTTCAGGATGGATGGGGCCGGCACGGTCACCAGGGCCTTCTTTACCAGGTCGGTGGAGTTGATGTTCCAGGCCTCGGTGGTGATCAGCTGGGCCATGCCATTCTCCAGTCTGTTATTGGCCAAGGCGGGAGAGGAGTCAGTCATGTCCATGGAGAGGTTCTGGGACTGCAGATCGTCCATCACTCGGCTCTGATGCCACTGGGCCTGCAAGGCAAAATCACAACATGAACCTTCCGTCAGAGACCACTTACAATTGCCTTAAGTGCTCTCTCCACGTGTTTTAAGAGTCTCCATATCTTAGTGAACCACAGAGCACACCCGTCCCTCTATGTACACATACATGCTATAGATATTGCCTAATATATACAAACACACCCAAGTGATCAGCTGTGCGTGGAGAGGCCCAATTTAACAGACGACTAAGCTATAAACACAGATGATGTAATGCCTAAACAGCCGAGAGAGGTTAAACAGAGTATTTCTAAGCCTAATACTCAGCTTATATGTTTAGTTTTCGCCAAACACAAAGTTCCTTTCCACATTGCCGTTGGGACGGTCGAGATAACGTGGAGACTTGACTTGATCACACGCAAGTCTTGACTTACTTTACTTCAAAAACAAAATAAGGTCCTGTCACATTAGAGCATTCTAAGAAAGTGGAAACAGGACATCCCACTTACAGAAAGCATCTTAAAAACTCTTTCAAGCAATCGTTCTTCCCGAAGAGGCTCGATGAAAAGAAGAGCAGTGTGTTTTCACAAGGATCGGCACAGTTGTCTCACGGGCTTCCTCTGACCAATGCTATCTCCTTCCCTCCCCATAACAGGCAAACCCTCCCCACGGAGCCAGGTGGAGACAGGATAACTGCACGAATGCTCACAGGGTCCAGTGTCGCTTTCCCTAATCAGCTCCTCTGCGTGACCCGTGACCTCCCCTAACTTTTTCTAGTTGTCAAGAGGGGACGTCGCTGATTCTAGGGCTGGGGAAATGGAACACCTGTTGGAAGCAAACGTCTTCAACGGGGAGATACTCTTCACTGATATCCCTGGCACCCCTGACCGCCTCCTGAGAGGCCCAAGGAACCCAGCACGGGTGCTTCCTGGAGGAAGCAGGGCTGCAGCTGCGATACGACTCTCCATGGAAACGCGTCCATATTTAGCCTCGTTACCATGGAGAAGGCAGGCACCATGTCTAACTCAGGGATCTGTGCAGCCCTGGAGTCTGCTTGGGCTCAATAATAATTCAATAATCCTCAGGCTTGCCGGGCAGGCCTTGGGCAACTCAGATTCTCGACCTCACCTGTTGGAGCTGTTGTAGACTTTAGTCCCACGGTCATCTCGCGTCCTCCTCTCCTCACCCCCAAATTACCAACACACCCTCCACAACCCGTAGGACAGCCCGCCTGGCACACCATAGGAGTAGAAATAAACAAACAAGGCCTCGCTACAGGAAGGCAGCTTTAACAAATGAACAACCGTGTGATATTTCCAGACAATCAAAATGTGTCAAATGCATAGAACAAGGAGTTTCTCTGAAGCAGGAGGAAGGGCAGCAAGCAGAAGGATGCTGTGCACACAACTTTGGGGAGAAGGACTCGCTGGTAATGCCCTCAGCAGGGTGCACAGTGGTGCCTCTGACGGAGGGCTCCACAGCCCAGCACCCTAGGGGCAGGGTGTCCTCTAGAAACCAGGAGGTGACCCAGAGTGCTGGCCAATGATGCCTTTAGGGCAGAGTAGGGAGGCAGCCCACGCCAGGGCAGTTGCAGGGGCTTGCCCTAACTGAAGGGTCCTGGTTTTTCCTGAGAGGAATGTTCCCTGATTTAGCCCAGAAAATATCATTTGTTCACACATTCCTTCACGCACGCATTCATTCATTCACTCATTCAACCCACTGATTGGCTGAGCGCCTACTGCACACCAGCACTTTGCTGGGGGCTGGAGATGCTGTTGTGAGCCTGACAGACAAGGTTCCTGCTATAGTGGAGATTACAGTTCAGTGGTGCACACGTCTTTCCACGGACAGAGATTTGCTAGCGTGAGAAGGCATCAAAGTTACGTCAGGAGAGGCATCAACATCAGCAGGACGAAGCTTTGGTGGCCACTTGGTCACGGCCCTGTAAAGGACCTGAGAACCTAGGATCTCCTCCAGAAGGGTCTGCCCTGTCCTTCCCAGTGGCCAAGACTCTCAGGGAGGGGTGAGCAAAGGCTAAAGGGAAGCTGGGGAGGCGCTGGGGAGGCGCTGGGGAGGACAAGGATGGCAATGGGAAGAGAAGGCACCCACAGCCACCCATCTGAGGTGGCTTCTGATGGCCTTCGAGGTAACTACTGGGAGAGGTCAAGACATGTTCTGTGCCATCTTTGGGCTTCCTGTGAGTTGAAGACTGCTTGCATGTAAGGGGCTGCACCTATCTGCCCTTCTGGACAAGAGAGCCTCCCCTCCCCGGCCCACACTCGCCTCTGCCTCCTTTGCACACCCCTGCCCCCTCCCAGGCAGAGAAGGCAGACTTCTCAGGGCTTCTTCCCTCGGCTCTTGGTCCACAACTTAGCTCAGGTGCCAGCTCTCACCTCTTCCTGCCAACCTCACTCCTTTCTTGCCTGGCCCTGGTTCTAGGCCTCCCACTCCCCCAGAACCTTCTGGTTCAGAGTGTGAGGAGGGGACCTCGCCAGGACAGGGGGCCCCTGTTTGTTTCACAGATGGCCAGAGCCAAAACGGACTGGGCATTTACCATGTGCCAGGCCTCTGCCAAGAATGCTCAGAACTTTCCACGCATTACTTCACTTAATCCTCAGAACAACCCTATGAGGAGGGGCCTATAATTATGCCCATTTTGCTAATGAGAAAACTGATTCCATAGGAAGGTTAGGTGACTAGGATAAGGGACACTGATGGTGGGATTCGAGTTCAGGGTTAATCCCAGGCTTCTTTTCCCAGTGGAAGCTGTGAGGGCCACACTCGTTCGTGCGTTTTGTTTCTTGGCAAGAACAGTGCTCTCCAGCCGCCTGTTCAACACCGAGTGCATGTGCCTGCAGAGCTGTGTAAAAGAGAGCACTCGACCATGAGATTTCTTCAAAGTGGTGGCCAAGTCCTTTCCAGAAAATCATCGAACTGTTTGCTTATTCTCTTTTGTCCACCAGGACCCTCCTCTGTCCCTCTCACCGGGGAAGGAGCCGAAGGGTCACCAGAGTTCCTGTCTTTGGGGAGGACAGCCCCCATGGGGCGCCCCATGACTACTTTGGCCAAGTAGTCAGGCAGGTCCACAGCTGTCATGTGGGAGGAGAGGGAAGTGAGATTGGGCCCACGCTTCCATTCCGCTTTGCCCCAGCCCTGCTCCCGGAGCTTTGAGTCCCCAGTGGGAGATCTAAGGGTCTCCCTGTAGCTCATAGGTGCTGAGATGCCCGCCCACCCACCTGACATCTGTCTCAGAAAGGCTGAGAGGATGCAGGCCTTCTTGCCCTGCACTAGAGTTCCTGTCTTCGGGCAGTAGGCCTTGTGAGCACCCCCGGTCGCTTCCCTAGAGCCACTGGCCTGCCGAGATGAGACTGGTATTCGACTACACGGGCAAAGGAAACGGTAGCCCTACCTTCATCATGCACCCTCCTGCCTCCCAGAAAGGTTCTTCTCTTTCTCTTTGCTCCCCTTCCCCTTGTCACTCACCCTGCCGGTGGGTGCCCCAACTCTGGGTCAGCCGCCGGGGGGCCTGAGCACCCTCAGTGCAGGCAGAGTAAGTGGAGCCGCTGTAGGAGCCAGTGCTGGAAGCCCCAGCAATGACCCTCACTCACAACCAGCTTGTAAGATGAGAGTTCACAGGGCAAGTCTCTATCCCTTCCCCAGGATGAGTGAGAAACAAGCTGACTGGAGAGAAGGCAGAGAGCTGTCCTCCCTTCCCCGCTGATTAGCATGGGGCAGCAGGTGTGCCGAGGAACTCTACAAATCAGGAAGTATCCTAGGAGCCACCAACCAATGCTCAAGCTAAGGGGCACGATGGCTTCAGAGGGGACAGGGAATGTTTTGTTCAGGTTTTTCTTTCTTTCTTTTTTATTTTTTTTTATTTTTTTTTAACGTTTATTTATTTTTGAGACAGAGAGAGAGAGAGCATGAATGGGGGAGGGGCAGAGAGAGAGGGAGACACAGAATCGGAAGCAGGCCCCAGGCTCTGAGCCATCAGCCCAGAGCCCGACGCGGGGCTCGAACTCACGGACCGCGAGATCTTGACCTGAGCTGAAGTCGGACGCTTAACCGACTGAGCCACCCAGGCGCCCCTGTTCAGGTTTTTCAAAACATCTTCTGCAAATAGGTTTAAATGAGGTTACCCATCTGTCTTGCCCACACCTGTGATGATGGGGGGAATGGGGGAAGGGTATGGGCCAGGGTTGGTAAATGCAGTGTGGCCGGATGGGGAGTGGGCAATTTGGATCTGTGGGTCACTCTCAATCTCTTGGCCCTTGGCCAGCTGCTAGAGCTGGAAGGTTGGGGTCCACCCCAGTATAGGCCATGTGGCCCCCAGCTGGAGACTCTGGGGGAAATGCCTCGGGGCCCAGGGCAAGTGAGGGGGTGAGGAGAGGCTGTCTGGGGCAGTACTTGGGCTCAGCGACCTGTGGGATCACAGAACCGTTATACAGAGCCCTCGTCTAGCTACCGATCTAAGTCGGGGCAGCTTCTCCCTGGGATCTGTGTCTCAGCCTGGAGCCCTCTTGGGCCTCTGTGTCACCCGACCAACTCCTTCCTGCTCTTTTGTCAGACTCTGCGGTTTCCTCCTCTCAGATCTCGTCCCCACCTCACTGGGCTCCCACACAGCACCCCAACTTGCCCTTGTCTAGTCCTGAGCCTTCCCCTCACATTGGGATTGCCTGCTCACTCATTTCTCCAGGAGGGAGGGGCTGCCTCACTGCCGCATCTTTCTATCCGCCTCTGGGGAATGGCAGGCGCTCAGGAAACACTTTCTGAGCCAACGGGTGTCTGAATGAGCATCTAGGCCTTCCTGAGTCTGGCTTCTCCTGCCCAGCCTCCGGTGCAGGCTCACCATTTACAGAACCATGGCACGCACATCAAGGCTGGAAGGGGTGGTCAAGGTCACATCTCCATCCCCTTCCTGATTCTACTTACAGATGAGGAAACCGTGACCCAGAAAGTCTGACCCAAATTTTGCCTGCGACCAGTTATTACCGAGGTCACCATGCTCGCGCTGGGACAAAAGTAGAGGGTCA